AGCAAATACGTGTTTTGGCAATTTTTAAAAATCAACCCTTAAGGATGAAATGTTGTTGCTACGTTTGTATTTGAAAGATGGCGACATTACACAAAATTAAAACGTTGTAAGGGTGAATTGGGAGCTAAAAGGTTTTATGGAGAAAGAATATTAATTTCTGGGAGCGAAGCCGCGGGGAAAAGCTAGTTTGTTATAAAGCAGAAACCTAAACAATTAAATTCGTTCACAACTTGTTCTCGCCCTTAAATTTTCCACTTTTCTTCCCGTTTCTAAATACCACAATCTTCGTTTACATGTATTTATCTTTAAATTTTCTTTTCATCGACATATCTCTCTAACATTGTCAACATTTTATATATTGTATTTACATATGGCGTCTCATCCCTCTCTTTCTCTTTTATCTTGCTTGACATTCCTTTAATTTATTTTCGTTATCAATCCAATAACTAATTCTATTATTCGCCAAAATATTTGTCATTAGGTACTTTATATCCTGTATCTAATACTCTCCTTTTAGTAATTCTGAGACTTATCCTCACATCTCTTCTAAAAAATTGATATTATCTTCACTTTGGTCTATCCCTCTAATTTCTATGTTTTGGTAAACTATCTCATTAAATTTATTATTCTAGTTGCATTATTTATCTTTTTTTTTAGGTATTTTATTTCTTGTTGAATATTTTTTTTAATTCAAACAAATCTGAGATGCATTATGTAAATAAACAATTTTATATTTTATAGTTTCGTTTCTTTCTTTCAGGAATTTTATCGTGCATGCTTGAGTATAGAATGCGGGTAAACAAAGGCATTCATGTCTTCAACAAACTTTTGAGACTGGAAAAATCTTCAACCTCAGCAGGAAAAATGCCAGGACACTTCTTGTTATCCTTGCATACCTTCGAAAACTGTGTCTGTGGATATTACGTCATGAATATATGGAACACGTCACTACCAGGGACGCCTAAAGGATAACATTCTTTGGGAAACTTCTTCTAAGCTTCTAGATGGATGGATCACAAACAGGATAACCCAACAGTTGCGGGATGCGGATAAACAAAGGCATTCATGTCTTCAATAACTTTTTGGGACTTGAAAAATCTTAATCCTCAACAATATCTTTGAATAATGGTAATATTCAAAAGGTAAGTCAGTTATTAATGCGACATCTACCATAAAAGTGAAAATGTATTTGAAATATAAGATGAAAACAATGGAAAAATCGTAGTTCTGCTTTTAATTTTCTTACAGTATTCATATTACTCAATAATATTACATAATTTATGTAATGTAAGATTGTGTAAAAATAAGCTACAGATAATTTGAAAGCTTTTTCTTATTTTTATTGTGAACACATGAAGAAAACTAAATTTTTATGACAAAGCAAAAACTACCTTTCGATTGTAAATGACTGAATTTGCTGTAGAAATAGTAGAATTTAACTTATAATAATCTTAATTTTGGCATGCTTTTTAAAAATTATTAAAGTTTCTTAATTATTACAATTAAAATATCAACTAAAATACCTAGTAAATTTATTTCTGCTGGGATTTTATTTTTACAAAATCGGGACCAAACTGTAATTTTTAGTATTTCGCTTACGAAACAACGGGCTGGTAGGATAAATTGTAAATATCGCTTTAATATTTACGTAAACTTTTCATTTTCTCCGTGCAATGAGTACTTAAAATACGTTAATTTGTGTTTAGAAAAGTGCTGTATTTGTGTTAAGCTTTTTTTTGCTTATTCGGTAGAAATGTGGAGAAGGGTTTCCGGTGAAATTGGTTATTTCAGTGAACGAATGAAACGGAAGTGACTCATGTATATTTTACCGGAATACAATGTCCGATAATTTACATTAAAAAACGGTGCGCTTAAAGTGTATTTGGCCGGGATCCAAGTAGACAATAGGAGGAGTTAAGCAAAAGCTGCACACACAGTGCTGCAAGAATAGATTTACGACGAGAGGCGAAATGGAGCGTAAATGGGAGCGCAAAGGTNCTTTGCTTACCTTTCTTCTTAATCTTAAATTGTGTTTTACCTTTTTGCCTTTTAGTTGGTTTTTTCAAATGTAAAATTTATTTCGTAAATCATAACTGAGATATCAATTTCAGAATAATATCTTTATTAGGGTGTCATCCGCTTATTCTTTTCAATACCTTTTTTGTTTTGTCCCTCCTTTGCTTACCTTTCTTATAAATCTTAAATTGTATTTTACCTTTTTGCCTTTTAGTTTGCATTTTCACTTTTATACATTACGTTTTAATTGTTTAGTTAATATGGAAAGTATTTTTTAAATCATAATTCAAAAGTCAGTTTTAGTATAATATTTTTATTAGGGCGTCATCCACTTACCCTTTTCAATACCTTTTTTGTTTTATCCTTCCTTTGCTTACCTTTCTTCTTAATCTTAAATTGTGTTTTACCTTTTTGCCTTTTAGTTTGCATTTTCACTTTTATACATTAGAATGGGCCAAAAATCCGCTTTTTTTTAATTGTTTAGTTAATATGGAAAGTATTTTCAAGTTAAGTTCAATGTAATTAAATTGTTAAAGGACAAAAATATCAAGTTATTCAATTTTCATAGTTTGTGAGATAATTGCAATTTTACTTAAAAAAAGATTTAAGGCAATATTTTAGGTATTAATGAAATAATAAAAAAAAAAACAAATACGAATATAGGGTCTACTCTAGCGTATCTATACATAGTCCTTTATTAATTTTAATTAAAATCAATATATTTCAGTTATTATTTACTGATTAGTACCTATTGTCAGTTTTATTTTTAGCTACTCGTATTGCAAGTCAATCTTAAACTGCAAAAAGGACATTCTTTTCCTTATGACCCAAGGATACTGACCTATCCTTTACAATATACAAATGCTTCTTTTTACTTACCTATTTATACACTTTTCTTTAGTTGTTTGTTGTTTTTTTTTTTTAGAAATAATCACTTTGATCTTATTTTATTCATCCTATTATAAATATCTTCAAAAAATCATTATTTTGCAAAAATTTTTACTTGTTTTCAATTTTTTCTTACAATTAGATTTGTTATAGCTTACAACCTGGCGCCTTCGCCAAAATTATTATTTCTGAAATACAACTATATTATTAATACTTTTAAGAACGATGATGGTAATTTCATATATTTTTTTTATTTTAGTAATTAAACGAAGT